CCTCTCCAAAGTTTTTTTGGTGGTTTTTTTTTTTTCTTTTTTCACTGAAACATTTTGAATCATTGCACAGAGACATCAATACTGTGACATACTATGGAAAAAAGACCGCCAGGAGCTGTCCTGCACCGGGGAGGGGAAGGGGGCCCCTGATGGAGTAAGAATATACAGGCACTAGTCCGACACGATGTCAGCAAGAGAGACAGAAAGAGAGAGAGCACGCCCGTTAACATGGGGAATGTCGGTTTTTGCAAGTTTTCCCATCATTTTCGTTCGCTTTTCGTCTGGTTTGGTTTTTTTTTTTTTTTTTTTTTTTTTTTAAATGGCAAAGAAAAAATTTTTAAATATCTCATCTATAGTCCTCCTTGGGATATTCTAACGTCACCAAATTGCCGAAGCCCATCCGCAGGCTCTCCACGTCGAACGTTTCGATCTCTCGCTCCTGCCTTTCCAACAGAAACTTGATCCTCTCGCTGCGTTCCTTCTGGAGGGCGGCGAGCTCCTCTTCGATCTGCAAGAACCACCGTGAGCAGCCCCCTCGGCCGAAAACGACGCATCTCAGCCACGTAACCCCCAACCCGGAACGTACCTTTTGTTCGAGGTGCGCCCTGCGCAGCGACACCCGTTGCTCCAGCTTCTGGAGCTCTCTTTCGTGCTGTGCTTCTGTCTGCATCTTAATTTTGCTCTGGTACGCGTTGAGCAGCTCCATCTCCTGCTGGAGTTGCAATCTCAGGGCTTGGCATTCTGCTTCTTGGGCCTCGTCCAGCCGTAGCTGTAAAGATCGTGGGGAAAACAACGGTCAGAAACCTTTTTTCTGCTCCGACCTCCTCCCTGAAGCCGGGGAGCCTGTGACTGTGGCCCGACTGTCCCCCGCTTCGGTCAGGGACCCCGCACCTACCGCCTGCGAGGCCATCATCTCGTTGATGCTCTGCTCGTACTGCTCGGCCAGGATGGCGAGCTTCCTCGTCTGCTCGTCCTTCAGACTCTTCAAAATTGTCTTGTGCTCACTCTTTGGAGTTACTTCCAGCTGGTGATTCTTCAGTGCTTTGTACTGCTTAGTTTGCACTTTGCACGTGTCCTGGAACTGCTTCTTGATCTGCATTTCCATGGCCTGCCAAGGGAGGAACGATGTGAAGAGCACAAAGAGCTTTCGGGAACGGCGAGGCTGCGGCGCAGCCGAAAGGGCGGGTCGGTGAGAGACAACCGCAGCTCCCCCGGCACGCGCAGCGATCTAACAAGCGGAACCGACTAAAGCCCTGCTCCAGGATCCCCTAAGACCTCCTCAGCCCCGGGCATCTTCATCTCCCACCCCGTCACCTGCCTCCCAAAAAGCATTTTCTTTCTCGAGGCTTCCCGTGGTGCTGCCCTGCCCCACCTCAACCACGCGCTGCCACACGGAGGCCGCGTGTCCAAGCGCCGGCGCGGTGAAGCGCAGAAAAGCACCGCGCCTTTTTGGACAGTCGGGGGAGGAACAGTGAAAGCTCCCAGGGCAAGCAGCTCAGAGGTTTCTAATCAACCCACAGCTGAACCGGGACAGAGCGCAGCGCTCAGCACCCCCGTGTGCTCTTTCTCTCTTTGACAGTGAAGGAAGTGTCACCCAACCCCTTTCCTTATCGAGGTTTATAGGCTGACACCAGCAAGGGCCTGAAGAAAGCTCACTGGAAGCAAATCCCGTAACACTTCACTAAGGACCAACCTATTTTTACCCAGCAGCTTGAAAACAGCCTGTGACTTTCTTGTAGGAGAGTGGCCCCACATGACGAGAAGGGAAAGGACATGAGGGAGAGCGTGCAGGGCGGGTGGAGAGCGGTGGTGCTGCAGCATGGATGCCGCACGGAGGAGGCAGGAAGCACACAGACCAGCCTGCCCGGCAGGCCAGAGGTTGGAAAAGGAGGAAGGAAAGTTTCCAGCACCTTCAGGTTCTTTGGTTGCTGCCGGAGCTCCATGAAATGCTTCCTGTGCAGCTCCCGCTCTCGCCGCTTGTTGTATTCCAGCTGGTTCTCGAGCTCAGTCTGGTGCTGCAGCCGGATCAGGTCCATTCGCAGCTTCTGCAGCGTGTGCAGCTGCCGGTACTCCAGCTCGCGCGTCGACTCGTCGTGCCGGATCAGCATGGCGTGCTCCATCTCCTTCTGCGTCCGCTTCTTGTTTAACTCCTGCGCAAGAGGACAGCAGAGCACAAGACAACAGCTGAGGAGCGCTTCTCTCTGCCCTGAGATTTTTTGTTGGTGAGGCCGGGTGTCCAGGTCACTCCTCTAGATGACATCAGGGGCTTCCACGTGCTACAGGGCAATGTGAACCCAGCAGCACGATGGGAATGCTAACAAAGCGGCCACCTAACCATCCATCCATCCATCCGTCCATCCATCCATCCATCCATCCGTCCATCCATCCATCCCCTGTAACCTGCTCCTCTGGCAGCTCCCGGATCACCCAGGGAGTCTCCAGCAGGTGGCACTGGGACCACACACAAGCCCCATGACTGCTGGGAATCGCAGTTTTTAATAACTATATCCTGGGGTGCTCAGAGCTGGGGGATGCTGGGGCAACTGACAGAATTGGGAGCTCTTATTTGTCCATTTTAAATTACCCTGAGCCCCTGCCAGGCTCGGGGAGATGAGCTTTCTCTTGTATCACTTACACTAGAGCAGTGAGAGCAGAGGTGAAGAGTTCTGCCACACCACTGTCAGGTAAGAATTTCCTCTACCACTGTGCACAGGTGGTGTTTGGCTCCAGGCACAGCTGATTTTTTAAAATGAGGGCACAGCCCAGGCCTCACACGATTTTGCAATGAGCCCATAAAAGTTCCTTCACACGCTGCCCAGCAGTCCTGGAAAAACCTTTACTGAGTTACAAGCCAAGGAAGAGGAAGACAGGGGATTCTCTCGCCAGCTGCTGCTAACATTCGTGTCTCGAGGTGTCGGCAACACCCTGTGGGGCACAGAGCTGAATCCAGCTCAGGGGAGCAGTGACTGCAGCTGCACCCCTCGCTGATGTCTGGTGAACTTCACAGCTGGTCTGCTGGCACGTCCTCCCTTCCAGCTCCCCAGTTTATAAACTCAGCACTTGTGCTTCGCGCTAGACTGAGCCGGGCACAGCGGGGGCTGCCTCGCACGACGCACTACAGGGAGAGCCCTGCGTTGACTCAGTCTAAAGAGTTGCTGCAGTAGAAGCAAAAAACAAAAATAAATCAACCTATTCTGAGGTGTTTCCTGCATGTCGTAACCCTGTTGTAATTCTCAGTATCAGCAGCGAGCTGTGGCGCTCGTGCCGTAGCCTCAGGCCGGTCTCTCTCGTGCTCGTTCCACACCTGACCTCAGTTCACGCAGCGTGAACAAACAGCGGCACGCCGCTTCTCACACACAGTTTCCCATCGGTACAAAAAGAACCTCTGTGGTTACTTAAAAACCATTCCCGAGGCATTACTTCAGCTGTCCCATCCAGCGCATCTGAACTAGGTAGTAGGGACGTTACCTTCAGGAAAGAAACAGAACAGCCCAGAAATTAGGTGTCTGTTAGGAGCTGAAATGCGTGACTGCAGAAGAGCGTTTCGTGTTAAAACACCCCATTAGGTAACTGAGTTCTGCTCTCATCTCTGCCACAGAGCTTGTGCGCTGCGATAAGGGTGCCCAAATCTGATTTTTCACAGTCATTCATTTTCAGGGTGTCTGAGCTGAGATGTCTGGATGCGATTTGCAAAGCAGCTGAGCAGCCCCAGGCACATCTGAAGTCAGGGGCAGCAAAGCTCCGAACAGTTAAAATATAGGGCGACGTTAAGTACGCCAGAAAATTTGATCATAACAGACTAAGTACGTGATTATTAGGAATTTTTGATCTCTCACTCTCAGCCTGTATTAAAATACCTTCTCATTTGATAATCTTTATCCAAAAATAACACTCATGAAGAATTCAGCAACTATAGTGACTACGATAGAAGAATCTACAAGTAATAAATTCTTTCTCCAAAGCGGTATTTGACTGCAGGCAGCCTGTAAGGCAAGGGTCCATAACTGATGAGGAAAAGCAAGACGCTGAACAGCTTCTCATTAACAAACTACCACCAGTTCTGTGCTCTCATTTGAGCAGAGCCCAATGGAAAAGCAACATCTGATTGTTTGCAGACAACCAGAATGCAGTCACAGGAGGACTGAATTTTCGGTATTTCTTCTTCATTCTGCAACCTCAATGTTGCTCTTTTAAGGTTATTACTGGTTTATTACACCTATTTCAACAGGGATAACCTTCCAGCCATCCCACAGGTGGCTCTGGCACTCAAACTGCCCTGTGCTGCGAAAGGATCCCCCAAAATCTGCTGCCCAGGAGCTCAGGTGAAGCATCCGACCCATGTTAATGCTTCTGTCCGCAAGCCAGCGACGTCACCCCTCCCTGGCTGATAAAAGCAGCCATGCCTGCGGGGAAAACTGTTTCCCCAAACACGTTTCCTACATTTTTAGCAACTGGAAATGTGAAGATCTAACATCAGCCAGCAAACCGTTTTGCAGACGTGAAGCTAAAACAATTAAAAGAAACTCTTGGGAAAGGAAGTGAAGAGTGCCATACTTCCCGGATGTTCTGCTGCTCCATCTCGTGCCTCTTGATCATCGTTTTTCTCTTGAAGAAACGGCAGTTTTTGTCGTAGTAGAGTCTCTGCTGGCTGAGAAGATGGGCCTCCTCTTCAGCCTGTGTGTGCTGCAGGTTCTCTTTATGCTTGGATATTCTTTCTTGCTTCTCTTTCTTCGGCGTGCTGTGGTCCTCATTCATTTCCTGCATGCAGAAAGGGTCACAACAAGACTTCCCTTAACATCCTTAACAGCAAATGATTTTTGCGATGCGGTGGGAACGCTGTACTCAAGTGCTGCAGCTGGGGACAGATGACCTACGTACTAAATTACTTCTTTTTCTAATTCATGTGAGAGATCACAGGGCTTTTAGGCAAGTGACATCTAAATGGCTGCTCTGATTACTTACAGCTTAAGCAAAAAAACCCCAAACCCATGAGGAAAAAGGGGAAGAAGAATTCTCTGTGAAGCCCCATTTTCCTTCATCACCCTCAGTTTCACAGATTCTGCTCTACAGCAAATTGGGAAGGCACCTCTAGCACCCTTGTAGATTGTTCTAGAAACGCTGCCAGATGTTCTCAGTTCCTGTAAGTTTACTTGCTGAGAATATAAATTCGCTTCCAAGCATGACAGTATCCCTTAAACCCTTGGGGTGGCTCAGGTTTATCAAAACAAAAGTCTAGTTCACGTTTGTCCCACACCCCTTCAGCCCTGAAAATGATGGTTTCTTGCCTCTTTAATCTTTTCCTTGCAAAGCTTGTATTGTTTCTTCTGACTTTCTAAAAAGGTCGCCAGGTCTTTCTTTTGCTGAGCCAAAATCTGTTGCTGGAATTTCTTTTCATCTGCTGCAGCTGCCTTTGCCTGTGAGGTACAGAGAGGGGGAAAAAAAAAAGAAAATACGACAGGTGAGGCAACAGGTACTGAATCAAGCAAAAAATCAGTCCTCTGGTTTGTGTTTTTTGGTCTCTCATTCTCCCATCACCACGTGAAACAAAGCCATGAGTATTCAGCCACAGGAAAGCCGCTCACACAAACCCCCCCTAACGCCCACTCACGTTTCAGAGCGTCTCCATCTTCTTACCTCTCCGCTAAAACTGCTCCAGAGGCTGGAACCCCACTAATTTACCACATAAATGTGCTGATTTTGAAACAGGCTGCGTTAACAGCCTGTCACTGCCTCAGCCCTGAGGTCTCCCCAGTTTGCCCATCTCTTTTAGCCCACAGTCCTCAGCTACAGGACCCGTCGAGGCCAACGGAGGTCGACTTGTAGCTGCGAAACTGTCTCGCAAAACCAGCCAGGGCAGCTCCAGACAGTCACCAGCCATTTAAGGTTTAAGTGGCACTTCCAGAGGCTTCTCTCAGCGATGTGGCTCACACCTCTCCCTCCAACCTTCACGTACCGCGCGGGAGCCTGCCACTCTCCTCACCTCTTTCTCCATCACAGCCACTTGCTTCTTGGCCAGCTTCTCCAGCTCGATGGACGAGTTGTTGGCATGTGTCTCCACCTCCTTCTGCAGCTTCAGGCGGTGCTCGTCCATCTCGGCCTTCAACTTGTTCTCCAGGGCGATCAGCTGCTTCTGGTGCTGGCGCCGCATCCGCTTATATCCTGACATCTGTTCCCGCAACTCGTTCTCCTGCTCATGCTCATGGATCTGTCTTGTAACCTGATGTCAGCAAAAGGGGAAAGAAGTGCTACACCGGCCTTCTTCACAGGCCAGCTGCCCCCACAGGAGCCGCTGACCTGTAAACCAGAGCCCGCGTTGCTCTACTCAGCTTTCGGGGAACGCTCTCCCAGGTTTCAGAGGGTGCTGCTGTTTAATATCACCCAAGAGGCCATCAGGCGTTTCTCTCTCCTGACTCTTGCCCCCCATCTCTTCCTGAGAATTTTACGCGCGTTCTCAGTACCGCGGCGGCAAAGGCCAAACGAAGGGACCAGCAGGTTACTGATCGCTCCAGGGAACAGCAGAGGAGATCTGGAAACAAAGGTGGCTGCGCCACAACCTTCTTCAGCCACAGGACTCAAATCCGGAGGGTAACACGGACTTACAAGCTGGCATCTCTTTTAAGAACAGCCCCCACCACCCCCCATTCTCTCCTTCCTCCTCAAGTCACCACAGTTCCAATTCAGTCCCTCAATATCTACTTCCAGCAACAAGTAGCTGACTTCAAAATTTCTTCTTAAAATTCAAGAGGATGGCAGACTGAGCTCATTCCCTACCGGAACTGAAAGTTTTCTAACAAGGGAACACTGTTCTGGAACTGTGTGCTCTTAACAAGATCGATCAGATGGTCTAAGCAGATTTTAAACCCTGCTCAGCTGAAACAAACTCACAAGTTCCACATTCATTTCCATGCCCAAGTGTATCCATGTGGAAGGGGGAAAAAAAAAAAAAAAAGAAAACCCAGTAAGTTGTGCCAAAATTTTTCAGAAAATGTGAATGGTAATGCTTCCATTTCAAAAGGAGAAAAGTGTCCAAGATTCTTTTTATTTTAATACAGTCTCAGGAACTTCACATACAAAGATCTGCTGATCTTTTACACGACAGCCCTGGGAACCCTTAGTACGTGTGCTGAGCTGCAGCCCCCAGTTCTGAACGAGGGGATCTCTCCTTTCACGCTTAATGAGCACGAAACAAAGAGGTGGCCTGCTGAAGGTGATCGCTGAAGCTTTTAGTGGCCGGCCCAGCCCCTGCCGTGAACCAACAGCCCTTCCTGGAAGGGCCCAGCCTGCCCGAGGAACCTCTCCATAGCAGCCAGGAGAAAGAACCGGCACCTTCCATGGTACCGCTGTCACTCAAAGGTTATTTTTCTCAGAGATCTTCAAAGTGCGCTCAGATGTAGGATGGGCTGCACCTACAGACCTGAGAAAGCTCGAGTTCAACAGAAGAAGAGCAGCTGCTTTCCCGAGCAGCAAACCCAGCCCACCTGCTGGCAGCCCTGGGCTTCGGGGTTAGGAGCTGATGGGAAGCAGGGATCGAGTAAGAGCTCCAAAAATCAACAAGCAAGGTCAATGTCACAACTGATGTGTCACCCGAGGCAGAGAGCACGCTGCTGCCTGTCTCAGCTCACGTGACTACCAACACTCGGGAGGAGTGTGAAGGGAAGGTTAGGAAGAGCCTTCCAAAGCCTTCAGCTCCAAGCAACAACTCTCAGTAAATAGTCACTCACCAAGAAAATGCGAGCCAGAGTCCCAGAACAGAAACAAGATGTGAAAGGATGAAGCTACTGAAGAGGATGGTCTCCCATTCCGGCTGAAGACAACCCCAGAGAGAAAAGAAAACACCTGAAGAAAGCAAAGAAAGCAAAGAAAAGGAAGTACCAGCCTGACGGCAGCACCACGTCAGGCTCTGCTATCAGAAAGCGACGGTGGTGGGTTCACCACAGTACGTCAAGTCACGCAACCACGAGGTCAGCGATGACGCGTACATGACACCCTCCTTGTGCGAGGAATTTGGGGATGTTATTCTGAAGTCAGCTGCGTTAGACTTATATCTACACTTACACCTCAGGAACCGGTGTAGCACGGCAGCCTTCAAACGCTTGAGACCAGGTCACGGAACAGGTGTAAGCCAGGTACCAGGAATACGTAAGGTTGTAGAAGTGACTACAGAAACACTGTATCAGCCCCGCGTATTGTGACAGATCAAGATGCCTTTTTTTTTTTTTCCTCCTCCAAGTGTAACAACGACAGCCACACTTTGCAGAAGCTGGCAAGCATTTGTGGGAACTTGCCCATTTCTGACAAGTTCAGCAAGAAGATCTCTGACAGAAGCTTCCAGGTAACAAAAGTTCCTCTGAGAAGTCATCCGAGCCAGCGATAAGAGACGGGTGTCAGGTAAGACAGGCAACCCCCCAACATTTCGCATATGTCATTCACTATGTTAAATGACACACTGCTTGGAGAGAACAGGCTTGGTCAGGGACTTGCGGAGGCACCACGCAGCAGTACAAGATCTTCCTGGATGTGCTATTTTTGCGGCCCAGCCTTTTTGTGAGCAGTGGGACGCTCTGCGCGGCACACTCCGTTCCACGAAGTTGGCAGAACAAAGCAAACAGCGAGAACGTAAGAAAAAAAATTGATCTAAGAATCCTCTAGCAACTTTGTCAGTCTCCCCTTTGGTCTAATCTCTGATGAGATTTAGAACATGCACTTGTTTTATTTACGGCAGAAATCATCAAACATTCATCCTTTCTTTTTACCCTCTCCTTGTTGCTGCTCCTGTGCACCCCATTTCCAGGTTTGCTCAGCTTGTCTCTCCCATGACAAGAATCCCACCTTGGAAAGATTTCGTAGTAGGTCTGGGACACTTATCCCCAACGAAAGGATGCAATTAGGAATTGTAACGCTCACCGATAAGGCCTTCCAGTCACTGCACGAGGTGAGACACTAACAAGTCGGCAGAAAACAAAAGAAGCATTTCATTCCTGAAGACAAGAGAGAAGGAGAATGGTGGACTTGGTGGACACCTCATGGATTTAATGTCCGCTCGTGCTAAAGACCTAATTTATCACCATAATCTCTAATCAAGACCAACGCTCTTCAGAACTCCGTCTTTGAAGACAAGGTCTCCAAATGGTGATCTCCGGGCATGGATGAAATTGGAAGAAATTAATATTAGTTACGGAATATGACTGGTTCAGTGCTGGAGGAGTTCACTTCAGACTAAGCATAACAACATGCGAATGAATAAAGAATTTATAGTTTTAAAGACTGAGTCCCCAACGAACAGCTTGAGCAACCATTTTCAGAAGAAAAGCAGTAAGCACCTTTCTGGTGTTCTTATACAAAGGCACTGGAACTTTGTAAAAAGTATTTCACAACAGAATCCCATAGATTATGATGGGGAAAAAAAAACCATGGCACCTGAACGAATTGCTCACTGCGAGACTTGTTTTCCACATAACCAGAACCTGTGAGGATCCTTTAAAGCAAAACAACCTGCCGTTTCCTGAAGCTCTACCTGCAGCGTTCAATAATCAGTCAGGTCACGTGTGGAACCAAAATACTGTATAAGACAGAACAGCTTTTATTAAGCTATGACATTTTCTCAGTTTCTTATCTCCCTGAATCTTTGGCACCCACCAAACCGAGAAGAGAGATGATGTCTTTTCCAACCTACTCCCACGGGCAGTTCGCTTGCCATAAAATCCAAACTTTCTCTTTCACCTCTCTGGGAGTTTTGCTTTACGTAAGGAAGTTGGGCTCACAACTTCTCCTCCAAACCTGCAGCTCTTCAGAGCTCCTTCTTCTCCATCATTTCACCACGATGCTGAAACGCTCTCCTCAAGGGCAGCTACTCTCACCTCTCCATCCCCCAATGAAATACCGAGCTCCTCGCTGCCGCACGAAGCTGAGCAAAGCCCTGCGGGCAGCCTCTCACAGTAAGGGAAGAGCTCTGAGACACGAAAGAACGAGTGGAGCATTTTTAAAGCAAAGACCCATCAGGAGAACCTCAACCATCTGGAGTCATCGCTTCAGCAGAAGAAGGTGCAAGGGAACAGCTGTCACAGACACGAGCCTGGGACTGGGGGCCCTGGTGTCACTTTAGTGGCCACACCCAGCGCAGCCTGCTCACACCTACCCGCACATTTGGCTTTACAGACCCTGGATGAGATCACACAATTCTTTTGCTGGCATTTGCATTTCAAAGAGAATGCCAAGGCCTTCCACAGAGTCCACGTTGTCTGATCTTTCTAGGAAATCTTAACTATTAGATCATTTCATCTGGAAACTAAAAGCAGCCATGGAGGAAACACACGAGGCGGTGAGGAGTTAAGGGGACAGGCATGACAGACATCCAGAAATGCAGATCAATCCATCTCTGCACACATTTAAAAAACACCTTTGACTTGAAAATGTTGATAGGTGTAGTCACCAGTGGGCAAAACCTCTACCCTTCTTTCTAAACAACAGCTTTCTGAGTTTCAAGGCTTAGATTTCGAGTTGTAAGTTTTCCTTTATGGATCACTGAGTGTCTGCAAAATAACATGGAGATATGATATAGCAGGGACCTGATCTCCATTTCAGATCTTAACCTTCACCGCAACAGCAGAAATAAGCAGTCTGTTTTCCAACCCTCTTCCAAGGGAATGATGATTACTGTTGCTACAAGTGTCATGCAAAGCAAAAATTAAAAAAGAAAAAAAAAGAAAAGGAGGAAGCTGGTCTATGTAATGACCAAAGAGAAAGGTGGTCCAGGAAACAGTGACTGTTGAAATTGTTGCTTGAATCCTGGCCAAAGATAAGCTCTTTCAGCTTTCTTAACCACATTTGCTTTTTTTTTTTCATTTTCTTTTAACCCGAGTAACATCAAGGCATCACCAAAAGACTAGAAAGGTGTATGCACAGCCTGTTTATTTATGGGCAGCCCATTTCACTACTTTTACCTGCAGGCCTGTCTGGTTTCCTTATTCAAATGATGCTTTTGCAGAGCAACAGGGCAGGGGAATCACATTTAAAAATCACTGGGGCATCTGGACCGCAGAGCTGTTTCATCAGTTCTCCTGTGTCCTGGTCTGAGCGTACCAGGATAAAAGTTTTGTGGGACCTCTGCACTCGCCCAAACTACTTGGGCTTGTTTTTGGAAAGAGATCCAACTTTGGAGTTGAGAGCATCCTTTTGGAAATTCCGGTCTTTCCTCCATCTGTCTTACCCTGTT